AGCAAACAAAATGTTTATTTGCCAGTATTGTATTGTTATGTTATACACCAAATGTCTGAAATTTATGCTCTACAATACTGCAACATTTTTATGCCGTATTTTGCTCTGTTAAGTTGTTGAGATCTAAAAACTGCTCATCTTTAATTCATACGCTCAAACGATGTTGTAAAATCCTTAAATCACAATAAAATTAGGGTAGAAAAAGATGGATTTTTTGGTAGGGACAAACGGATTTTTATGTGAATCGTTAACCTCCGCCCCTTTTACTTAATAGCTATAATGCTTGTTTTAATACTGTATTTTGTGCATGAATAATAAAAAGGAGCTCGAAAAACTCTTTGTTATAGTGAAACCGCAACCCTTTGTATTATTACTTCATTTCGTACAGTCTTCGCTGCGAGCTTTTTTCTCTAGAATCATCAGTTGCCGTTTTTATAATTAAAACTACCCCTAAATTACTCTTAAGCACGACTTTCACAACTTTGCGTGACTGGATATAGCTTCGGCATTTGGGGCCCTGCCAGTTTGCCAATTCCTACTTCTAATTCAGCCCGCATCGCCCCCCCAAAATTTATAAACGGCAGCTCTATACGTGCGTGTGTGCATAAAGCGAACTTTTTCTTTATCTCTGACAAATATTTTAATTTATCTTTATCAATATATAGAAAGCACGTCTGATATATGAAAAATGAACCTCGTTTCCCGTAATTTATGGAACAAGAAATGAAAATACACGCAAAAAAGCAAATGCGACTCGGTTTTTGAAAACCCCCCATTTGATTCTTTCACCGGCATTAGCCCATAAAATTACTTTCTAAAAGCAGAACATTTTCATCTTCCGACGGAAACGATGTTTGTGCTGGCGCAACTTTGCCATTCCGGTGGTGGAACACACGCGTTTGAAAGATCAAATAGTTTCTATGCCTGTATATATGATTTGCTGTATTAAATTTTCGCTAGCAATAAGGGATTATGTCTGTCGCTGAGAATATAACAATGTGCGACATAAGAACGCATGTGGCGCGGTAACGAACGAAGACGTTAGCTAAAATCACATTTGGCAAGTCTATATTTTGGGTTGTGACGTTACTGAAGTGGCACCTCTTATTCAAACAACGAATATAATTTGCCTAATGTACAAGGTAATAGCTTTAAATGTTATGTTACTTCTTACACGGTTATTTTGTATTATTTCGAATCTTTATACTTGTTACAGTGAATAATTGGTCAGTTTTTAATTAAAATAACCGTTGAAATACCCTACGTAGATGTTAATTCAACCTTCTCATAATAAGTGACCTGGAATACATTTTCAACGAAGAAAGACTTACAGATTTCATTTTATAAATCTATTGTAGTTATAATATTTTAATATTTCGGTTCGTTATTTCTCTTTCCATGCATTTTCTCAAGAAAATCTCTCTGAAACTCATAATATGAGGAATAACTAAATTTTCTTCGTATTATGCTAAATATTATCTAAACTGTCACGTCTTACCTCGAAAGTTTCTTTGTTAAATCCAAGTTTTTCTGATGAATAACTTTGATCTAAACCCGCGCTGTCACAAGATTTATGTCCACAGATTTTTTTTCCTTTTGTTCGGTTATAAAAAACGAAGTCCATAATATCGTTGTTTTATCCACGCCATAAATAACACGCCGCAGGAAAACTAGGAAAAAATGTTGAAGTGAAGGTAATTTGTGACAATACTCCTATGATTTAATGCATTCATATGTGTGGGGGTGTATAAGTGCAGGTTTCCCAGTACAACCTTCTTGGAAAATCGATAATAGTGATTAATTTAATACACACTCTCTTTGACATAGGTTTAAATAATATCTAATCAACCCTTCAAATGCTTTCTAAAAATAAATTACCTCCTCGTTGTAAACTTACTTAATTCTCTAGAAAATTCACATTTACACACACAGCATTAGTGAATTGAAGGGTTGTAACTTCTTTTCTTTCTGATTTAAACTTGCGTAGCTATTTTTTGATTCACTGGGAAATTTGAAAACGTATCCAGTTCTTTTTAAAAATTACAGACCTTTTGGGATATTTTCAGGTCTTTTTAGAAATTTCTATTTCTACCGGAAACTAATAATTTCGAGATCTAGGGCGTCTTTAGAGTGGTATAAATTTCAAGATGTTAAAATTATTTTGCTCAATTACAGACGGATTTGTAAACTGTTATGCAGGGTGGTTAAAATTCGTAGATCACCATTGGGACCTCTGTAACAGTGAGAGTAAACATTAAATGGGCGAAGTTGCCCCTTTTTGTGACTAAAGAAACGCATTCTATATGGACACTGAATCTGAAACTGTTACCAGTATTTCCATAATACGCTAGATATAGATGCCACAGGTTACAGGTTTTATTTCTTATGAGCACCATATATTACGAAATGAGATTGTGCAGGTTTAGAGGTCGTTTACACTCGTTTCGGGTCATTTTATGTGTCCAAAGTTAGTTAAAAATGTATCTGAAGCAATAACAATGGACTTGGTGTACTAACTGAAGGATACTTACATGTAAATTTTTGCACAGCCGTAGGGGTGATTATGACTCTCTTTAGATTACTTTTTAATGAAGAAAGTTCGTGAAAAATGCATTTTAAGCAATAAAAATGAACTTATGGTGTACTACCTGAAGGGAACTCACTTCTGAATTTTTGTACACGCTTAGGGGTGAGTGCCACTGTTTTTAAATCACTTTTTAATAAAGAAATTTAGTTAAACATGCATTTTAAGCAATAGAAATGCACTTATGGTGCACTAGCTGAAGGCTACTCACATGTAAATTTTAGTACAGGCTTAGGAGTGGGTGTGAGTCTTTTTAGATCACGTTTTATTGAAGAAAGTTATTTAAAAAACCATTTGAAGCAATAAAAATGAACTTATGGTGTACTAACTCACGGAAACTCACTTCTGATTTTTGTCCACGTTTAGGGGTGGGTGTGACTGTTTTTTGATTACTTTTACATGAAGAAAGTTACTTAAACATGCATTTTAAGCAACAGGAATGCATATGTAAATTTTAGTACAGGCTTAGGGGTGGGTGTAAGTTTTTTTAGATCACTTTTTATTGAAGAAAGTTAGTTAAAACATCATTTGAAGCAATGAAAATGCACATACTAAAAGAAATTCAGATGTTCATTTTTTTACAGACTTAAGGGTGGGTGTGACTGTTTTTAGATCACTTTTTAATTAAGAAAGTTAGTTAAAAACGTATTTGAATCAATAAAAATGTACTTATGGTGCACTAACTGAAGGATACTCACATGTGAATTGATGTATAGGTTTAAGGGTGGGTGTCACTCTCTTTAGATAACTTTTTAATGAAGAAACTTACTTAAAAATGCATCTAAAACAATAAAAAGCTCTTATGGTGCACTAACCGAAGGAAACTCACTTCTGAATTTGTACACGCTTAGGGGTGAGTGTCACTGTTTTTAGATCACTTTTTAATAAAGAAAGTTAGTTAAACATGCATGTTAAGCAATAGGAATGCACTTATGCTGAAGGTTACTCACGTGTAAATTTTAGTAAAGGCTTAGGGGTGGATGTAAGTCTTTTTAGATCACTTTTTATTGAACAAAGTTAGTTAAAAAACCATTTGAAGCAATAAAAATGCACCTACTAAAGGAAACTCAGTTGTTAAGTTTTGTACAGACCTAGGAGTGGGTGTGACTGTTTTTAGATCACTTTTTAATTAAGAAAGTTAGTTAAAAACGTATTTGAATCAATAAAAATGTACTTATGGTGCACTAACTGAAGGATACTCACATGTGAATCTGTGTATAGGCTTAAGGGTGGGTGTCACTCTCTTTAGATAACTTTTTAATGAAGAAACTTAGTTAAAAATGCATCTAAAACAATAAAAAGCTCTTATGGTGCACTAACCGAAGGAAACTCACTTCTGAATTTTTGTACAAGCTTAGGGGTTAGTTTTTTTATAACTTTTTCATGAAGAAAGTTAGTTAAAAATGTATTTGAAGCAATAAAAATGCACTTATGGTGCACTAACTGAGCGAAACTCACATGTGACTGACCTAGGGGTGGGTTTGACTCTTTTTTATATCACTTTTTAAATTAAGAATGTTAGTTGAAAATGCACTCATGGTGCACTATCTGAAGGATACTCACATATGAATTTTTGTACTGGGTTAGGGGTGGGTTTGACTCTTTTTAGATCATTTTCTGATAGAGGAAGTTATAGTTATAGCACTTATGGTGGACTAACTGAAGGATGCCCACATGTGAATTTGGTGTGAGTGCTCAGGTACTCACATTAATTCGTTAGGTTATTTAAGCTTTTGAGATAATTGTACGCCCTTTCTAGAGTTAGACAAGCTCCATCAGGAACTTGAAACTCATCATCTATTAATAAGAAACGACGTAAAAGAATGTTAGAAAAAAATTGGGTTAGATTTAGGCTTTGAATTTAAAGTTTAACCTCAGCATTCAAACTTCAAACACTGAATTCAAGCTTAATGGGTGTCTTAATTCAGTTAAAACTGTGAATTCGTAATTTATACCCTCAATTAGGACATTAAACACTAAATTTGCAGTGCGCCCTCGTAATTGACTATAGCTATGCTAAATATTTCTGGAATACCATCAAAGTATAATTTTAGAAGTCATTAAGTTGCGTCGAGAAGAACTTTATCATGTTTTCTCGTAATACACCAATTAAGCTGTCGAATTAAATACTTTCTCGTTTTCTGTACTTTCATATAAATATTATGGAATCTCATAACTCAAAATGAATATCCCACTTCAAATGTGAATTTATATACGGTTCAAGGGGATTACACTTATAAAAAAAGGAGTGAAGTTTAATAAAATGTGGAGATTTCAATTTCATATCTTTTCCCATTCTCACCCGCGCATTTTATATTGAAATTCGATCACATCTGAAGTTAAATCGCCCGAACTGATTTAAATAAGCACAATCCGAGGGTTAGACCTAAACTAGGAAACTTGAAGTGGTACTCACAGCTTCACAGCAGTTCAAATCGAGTAAGTAGACGGCACACCTATCACATTTGAGTAAATCTTGGGCCTCCTTCATTATTTTCGTCACCAGACATTCCAAGTTGTTCTGCTCCTCGAAGATGCTGCGCGCTAAATTTAGCAAAATCTGAAAGCAGGGTTACGGGTTCGCAAGTTCGTTTTAATTGACACCTCACCTGATTCCGACGGTACTCCAAAACAGATATTTCGAATAATTGCGCGTTTTGTATACCGATTCCGCAGAACGTGAGGTACCTTTCGAAGACGTCAACGTCGTGAGCGGAGAACTCCTCGGAATCGTCCGTTTTGTTAATAATTTGGGCCACTCCGATCACGTCACCCTCGTAGTTGCATATAGGCATACATAATATCAGTTTGGTCCTGTAGCCTGTTTTGAAGTCTATCTCACTATTGAATCTGGGGTCCTAAAAAAGAATTCGGTCAGTTATGTTCTCTCCAAAAAATGTGGGGATTGTAAAAGGAAAATGTGGAACAAGTGCGTGTGATGTATGTTTCGTTTTGTTGTTGGGACAGATGTCAACGGTGATACTTTCATCTCTAATAAAAGCTAGCGGAAAGGGAGTTTACCGCTTGTTACAACAAAAAGGTTTTCTATTTGATTACGAAAACGTCAATTTTCTGTCGCGAGATCATAACTCAATATGTGTGAGGTGGGTAGGCAAAGAACGCTACAAACGTCTCAAACTGTACAAAATTCTATACGGCATTCATGAGTTAAAGCTTAAGCTCAGATTTAAAGTACATTACAGCTTTACAACTCGTGGGTGGATAAAACGAAAAGACATTAAATTTTACGAGTAAATTTCAACGGTTTATATATTTATGCATTCAATGCGGTAACGTTCCTGGCGGCAACCTACTTTAATCTCGCAGGTAAAATTATTAAGTAGCCAGCGGAATTACTCAGGGATTTTCGTCAATTATCCCGAATAACGAGAATTAAAAGCGAGTGAATATATCCGGCAGTTTTTAACCACTCGTCCCTATTAAATATGAAAAAGTTTAGAGGGCTTAACAAAACCTTTGTTCGAAAGTAGGTAATTGCGTTTCATGGACGTACTTCAGAGATTTCATTTGAAAGCAATTCGCTTCAATAGATACAAAATGTACAGGAGTTCAAGGTACAACATTTTCGCTAATGTGCCTTTGGGAAGGAGAGGGCACATTGCGCAATCACCCGCCACCGGTAAAACTCATACTTCATGGGACTTGGACTAAAAAATCAAACAATCACATCCATTCCCAGGATTCACTTCGATAGCGGTATATCTGTCCAAGGAGTCTCAGCAAATTCAATTGACCTCCATAGTACCGAGCTCCGACAGAAATTCACCAATAGAGTTTTGGGCTCGGTTTTGGGTCAAAATAAAACCACCGCTTGCTCCAGAATATTTGCTTTCAGGAAAGGTTTCCACGGGTGAAATTTGTCACGGAATGTTCATCAGAATTCTGGCTTGAAAAATTTAACCTCCCCCCCACCCTCGAATATTTACTCCGCGGAGTTGTGTATAAAACGCGAACTCACCCTCTAGTAAATTCACTTTAGGCTAAAGAAAATTACCCTCCAGGTACGATTTTCTTTATGACTGAATTTCGCCCCCGCATAAGTTGGGTCATTATTCCCTTACTTTTGCCCTGGGTAAATAATCGCTTGTTTGCCACCACTACTGAAAATTACCCTTGTATGCTTTCCTATAATTTCCCCGCCATATTCCTTTAAAGAACATTTCCACGGAAATGTGTTAGTTCGCGTAAAATTCGCTTCTGGAAAATGCTCCAATAGATATCCTCCCATGCTAATTCATCGGCAAACATATTCGCTCGCGTAACATGTCCCCCGAAAGTTAAATATTTACCCTGAGAGTACGAGTATTAGTTTCCGGATCACTCACTGTGGAAACTTAACACAAAGCAAGCTAGAAGATTCACTAAAGGGATATCTGCTCGCCTGAAATTCTCCTCCGAAAATTTGGCCACGAATGTGCATGTTCCGAGTTTTTCCCCAAAAAATCTTGTCCGAAAAACCCACCTGGGCAAATTCACCCACTTCCGTAAAATTGGCATCCTGCAAATTTCCCAAAAAATTTTACACCTCCTATAAGAAGAATTTAGCCTCAATTCTAAATTTGATCTAATAAATCTGCATTAAAATTAAGGTATGCATGGAATTTTGGTAATTTAGGTACTTAATTTGATCACAGAGCTTTATCTTTGGACTCTTTGAACCGTTAGCCTTTCATTTGCCACTTCCCTTTTGTGTCATAATCCAAAAGCAAATTGAATAAATTTCATAATGGTGGGTCCAAGAATAAGTTTGGACTTTTCTATTGCATATGTAGGTTTGGAAAGTTTGCCTTTCGTTTTTTTCTTTTAACGCAAAGTTTAGTTTTGATTCTAACCCTGTGTGGGAACGGGGAAAGAATATTTCCACTGCAGATGTGCACTGCATGCGGTAAAAGTCCGCTAATCAAAGGCATCCCTCCCGTGTGAGGTTTTATAGCAGCCCAAAAAGCATACTTCTAGTATATTACTATGTGCAATGGCAAACGGTCACTAAACGACCCACAAAACACATGTCCAACTAGCTCAATTTATAGGTACTAAAAAAATCTTTAAAAGAAATCTTTTTTTCTAGGGCACGTTCGGCCTCAGCCTCGAAAATCTCAATACCAAAGTCTATAGAATTAATTGTTTAATACTAATTAAGTCACTTATTAACACTTACTGAGATTTGTAATTTACCATCAAAATCCTGTGGAGGCATGTGCTTCTCTTCCTTTCACGGATTTTGAAATTTTACGCACGAGTTAACTCCAGCTATTCTTCTTCGAACAATAAAATGAACTCGCTCTTGATTAAGCTTTGTTACCTACATTGGACTTCATTACCAAGACTGACCCTTTGAAATCTTCAGCTGCTCTTCGCCAATCACAATGGGATGATGTTGCCAATACCACCAATCTCCATTTTTTGTTTTGTTCATCTCCTTCAGCAATAGACCAAATACGACATATGGCCATACAAGAAAAAAATCAGGTGCTTGGCTGCCTACCCTGCCCCCCGGCTCTGTTGGAACTCTTAGATGATTCATCTTTCAGAATTTCGATGTGTCTCCGTTGGGTTCTACCTGTCTGTGTTCCTCATCCTTGCTCCTGCGGTGAACTTTTCGATATTTTCGGTCATCATGGCCTCTCTTGCCGCAGGAGTTCGATCGCGTTTCGATTTTACTTCGAATTTTGTAGGCAAGAACAAAGAGGTTCATTCCCCTTAAAGAATTGGGATGTAAGTAAGTAATTGTGTGAATCAACTGCGCTAGTTGTGGGGAATAAATCAAATTTACCAATAATAATAACAACACGGCCCTTTATACGATAAAAACAGAGGAATCCTTACTTAAGACAAATTTTACCACTTTTACCACTATTTTAGGCTTGCATAAAGATAAACTTCCCACAGATTCTCTATTTTTGATTTATCTTCGAATTTCAACTGTTTGTCTTCGGATTTGTGGATAATTTAGGCTACCAGCATCGAACTTAAGGGCTGATCTGATACACTAGCGGTTCATGAAGCTTTTCGAATTGAACAACGGATGATTTTGGCAGATTTCAGGTTTCGTATCTAGCCCGTTGAAATATCTCAACTGACTAAGGATGTTTTATCTGACGAACTGTACCAGAAGGATCTTAACTTAATATCAAACAAATTCTGTGGTCGTTCGTACCCACAGATTCTCCTGCTGGTAAACGAAAACCGCCCCCTCCTGTCAGACCTTCGTCATAACGATCAAAATCTACAAAAGGTTCATACATAAATCAATTAGCCCAGCTAAAATCACCGGCAAGCTTTTACGCATAATAAGACGGTCCATTGTTTTAATTTAGTTCATCCAACCGACCGTTTTTCGGTGCACTTCAATTTCGCCGAAAAAGCGAGCGACTTTATAAGCAAGCGGGTACGTGGTCTCCTTTTTATAGAAGCTTATTCAAAATTTCATTTTGTACGAAAGCCACTTACGCATAAACTGAACGTTATTTTATTTCGGGGCGCGTGGCAGTAAAAGTAAATGTTTTCCTCCCATTATTCCGCGCATCTTGAAAATTTGTAATTTTATATTTTCTTTGTGATTCAAAATTTTCTCCGGATAAAGTTTTCCCCCCGGAGGCCCATCATGAACAATCGCAAATTATGGCACAGCTGCGAGCCGTTTGTGTTCGTGCAGCGATCGGTTTCCATCAGTCGTTGTTACTAATGAGAGCCACGCTAATTGAAAAAAAAAAACAATAGAGATCACTGTTATTCTTCTGAGCTGAGAAATGGACTTGACGTTTTATTATGTGATGTAATAACAACACCCCGAAGTAACATACATCTACGACGACATCCCGCAAACACAAGTAAATGATTTACTCTTTTAGATAATAAACTAGAAGGAATTAGTTCTTTGGGTTAACGATGAAATAATTGCCTGTAAGCAACAAGTAGGTAATTTACTTGTAAACCGCAAAGGCGAAGGTTCTTGCAAATAATAATTAAACGTTATAAATAGCATGAAACGCACATCCGTAACTATATAACCAAAAATCGTCCTAACAAGGGAGTTGATTAATAAGAAAGCAAATAGCGTAGCATAAATATATCCCGTGTGTTCACTTTTTTATTATTAACATTAATTTCGACTCGAAATTGTTCTTTAAACTCGAAATTCAAATTCATTTTTAGTACAATTCCCGTTTAATTCAACGTACAAAATTTCCGGGTGACCTAATTATTATTTAAATGTTGACATTAAATGGAAAAGTTCGACGTTAAATACGAAACTTTGATACTAAACTCAAAATTTCGAATTAGAGCTCGGTTTTGCTACTAAAGGAGAGTGTTGAAGCCTTAATAATCCTTACCCTAAATTGTGATCATTCTAAAACTCTACTACTGATTGGTTTTGCTAACGCATTCAATTCTATTGGCCTTAATGCAATACTGCCCTAACAGTTGGTAGCAAAATATGTGTCCCTCACATATCTTGAACAAGTTTTCGAATTTTCTTTGTCAGAAACTTAGTATTGCCATACATGGAGCCCCAAATGCCTGAACAGTTCTTTGTAAAAGGCTATGTTGGTGGTGGAACTCGCAATGAAACCTTTTTTAGGGGAAAAATTGTACACCGAACTTAAGTAGGAAAGTTGTAGGTTTCTAAATGAGTACCAGATCCTTGGAAACCGCATAAATACTTTTACCTAGGAATACCCAATACTTCTAGGTTCTAGCGATTCATAAAGCGAACTTTATTCTCAAATAAATCCAAGCAATCAAAATAAATTTGCGACATGTGTGACTAACATCGCCTGACTACAATAACCTGCTCTTATCTCCCTAACGATGCGCGCAATGCCTAAATTGTACG